GAAATCTTTAATGACATGTATTTGGTAAGAAGTACCACTTAAACCTGAGTGCTGTTTGTATTACTTCTGGGAGAACTGCTAAAACTGAGCATGGATACATGTATGAGTTTGTGAGGATTTTTCATAAAAGCTTTAAAATGCATAAGGGAAACATGTAATATAATAGAAGTATGTAACTTTTTACCCAAAGCATAACTTCAAGATCTGAAAGTTTACATGTACCTATAAAATAGGTAAAACTTTCAGTCTTTAAATTGTTACACAAATATTCCTAGAGAAGTGTCTTTGGAAGAACTTAAAAATTAACTTCTACGGTCTTCAGATTCAATTTACAAAAAAAAGCCACCCATCACCCAGAGAACCTACTTGTAAAATAATGCAAGTCGACAGACTGTAGAGAAGTCTTAGTCACCTTTTTAAAAATAAGTAATCAAGTGACAGCACTTGGAAGCAAAATACTGGCTGTAGGTTTGAAAACAGACTCCTGATGAAAGGACAAAACAAAGCCTTGCATCTGGATTTCTAGTGAAAACACTGGTGTATGCCTTATTTGCAAGGTCTTCTTTAGTCTCAGCTTTCGTTTATGTGTGGAGTTACATGTGACAGGTATCTGTCCATGTATCTATTCTTTCTGATTTAATTCTACCCTTTTTTTGCCCAAATAAATCCATTTGCTTCTGTGTTCTGAGCAAGTGCTTATAGTTCTAAAGTTGTATAGCATGCTTCATGTTGCAGAAGTTGTATTATAATTCCCTTACCATGTGATGTTTCGATCTCTGTAGTACACTGCTTGTGGTGAGAAGAACAAGGGTTAGGTGCTGAGCATTCACTCCTCTGCCTTTGTTTCTCCTAGGTTCAGGTGTCATTCACCTGTGATCCTTGAGGACAGGAGAGCCCTTTATTCCAAGGAGGCTTTAAAGCTAAACCAAAAAAAGGAAGGAAAGAGAAAAAAAATTTCGTGCTCAGGGAAGATAGCTGAGAGAAGCAATCATATGTCATGTTACTTGCTGTTGTTGCAGTGGAGATAGCAGCTGAGGTGGGCTTGCCTGATGAATCTGGACCAGAGAAACTGTTCCTCAGTGTGTGACGATTCGGATGGGAATTTGGTCCGAGAGCAGTGATGTTTACTTGGATCATGAACATTTTGTTGTCCCAACCTATTGGAGCATGTTAAGTGATGAGCAAGTGTGGTCTCCTTTTTCTGTAGCAGATTTAAGTTTGTGTTGGTTTTCTTTTAATACAAGACCAATGGCAAAATCTCCTGTGGGTTGTCAGAGTGTTGCTGATAAATCTGTTGAATGTATGAGTTTCTGTATTTAGCTCTTGTCCAAAATAATGGCATTCTTGACCTTTCTTTTAAGACATGTCTGTAAGATGTTATGACTTTGGTTTCAGCAGACATTTGGGAGGGGGAAATAAAGCAAACTAAGTTTCCTTAGTAATTGCTTTCTTATGTCATTTCATTCCCCCTCCCCCCCCCCACCCCCCTTGTTATTATTTTCACCCTCTTCATCATAAGCCTTTGTTCACAAAACACTTTGTCTTTGGAAATTTACATTGGTTTTGAAATGAGGTGGAGCATTAGTATAATGAGACTGTATCATCATGAAAGTAGGTTTAATTAACCAGTTATTTAAAACAGTAATGACTTCTGGAGTTTATACTGCAGCTGCAATTGATTTTAATCTGAGAGAGCTGCCCTTAGTAGGATCTTTCTGATTAATGTAGAATATTTCTGATTAATAGTTAAGGTCCTCTATGATACAGAAAGAGAAAAACTGGTTTTCTTCCTTCTGTATGTATATTAAAGAAACAAAAGAAAACCTGTACGATTCTAACCCATCTGAAAAAACTTGTTTCTAAAGAGCCAGTGAGATTGAACCAGCTGATTTCCCACTCTAGGTGAGTGCACTTACAGTGAATGTCAGCATCTTGAAACGAGTGTGTGAAATATCTCATAACACCGTTTGCTTGATGAGGTTAGTTTTAATTATTTATGACAGCTGCTCTTGAAAATACTCTCAAGATATGTAGTCTTGGATCAGAGTACAGTATTATCTTTGAAAAAAGTGGGTAAACACAGTTTCATAAATCACGGCTATATTGGTAATTTTGTACTGAGTAGACAACCTTGATGATGAAATAGCTCAAAGTCTACAATCTAAGGTGCGTAATAGAGGCTACACATAATAGAGCTAAAAAAACACCTGTGTGTAGCATAATGTTAGAAGAAAAAAGGCATTTTTTTTTGGATATTGATTTTATTTTCAATTTCACCCTCATCAGCTTCTGAAAATTGGTAATAATAAAGCGTAACAACCACGTTGTAAAAGGAGCTTCTGATAAACTACAGTAGCTTCTTGTTGGCCACTGTCTATTTGAGCAATAGCTCAATGGCTTATTGATCATATTTCTTCCCCATATGGTTGCACATTTTTTCGGGGCTGAGGTAATTTTGGCTGGGTACTTGTTTTGTGGGATTTGGTCATTTAGATAGCTATCAGGTGTCTTAAGGGCTTACGTGTAATATCGGTGCGGGGGAAGATGGGGGGTTTAAATCATTATGATTATGCTGGTATAACTCAGCCTAGTGAGTTCTCTTATTACATATAAAAAGCTTTTTTCCAATAGTTTCATAAGAAGTAATTTGAGAGTACGTTAAAAAAAACCCAAACAAACCCAAACCCTCCAAACCCAAGAATGCTGTTCTAGAAGAAAAATGGGTTGTTTTGCAGTTATGCTTGTATACTGAAATGGGTTTAATTATACTGACTCGAGCTGTTCTGTGTAAACAAATGATTTGTGACTTCATTGCCTTGATCCTGAAAGAAATAACAAAAAGCAGTTGCCATGGATGGAAAGGTCTGTTCTGTGCTTCTTCATTTTGGCTTCTACTCAGTCTAATGATTTTTATCATGTATACCACTTGCTTTCACCATTGTCTAAAGCTTATTTAAATGCGTTAGGACAAGAAAAATGGTCTTGCTTGCTGGTTTTGGTGATACCGTCAGTAAAACAGTGATACAGCAATATTCTGTATTTAAAGCTGTAAGTACAATACAAGAATCAATTTTGCCTAGTAGTACTCTCACAAATGGCTGCTGTGAAAGTGGAATTCTCCATGAGGAAATCATCCTGTGTCTTTTGTAGATCGTTTATATTGCAAGGAGTCTTGTGACCATTTATTTTTAACTCAGTTGAGTGCTTGTTTACCTTTGTGAAGTGACAGTTTTAATGTCATTCTTTGTTAAACTTTCTTTTGAGGGAAGTAGTAGATAATCTAAGAAAAGCTAACTCGTTACTTTTTTTTCCAAATTACAGTTTCATATTTTTTCAGAGAATTTGAATTTTCATTGAGTTGTACAAAAGTAGTGGAGGAAACACACTGAAGATCCTTGGCAACTAATCAGATATAGTCTGCTGAACATACCGATTTTGTCTGAAGTAAAATTAAATTCAGTATTTCTAAGGTGACTTAGAGGAGCAGCAACAAAATTTTGTTTTATAGTTGCTTCTCTGTCTCTAAGCCTAATATGCTTTTTTTAATATCTTGGTTATTGAATCTGGGGAGGCTTACTTCTATTGCCTGGATGGTACATATTTTAATTTGAAGGTTTAAACCTTCTCAAATATTATTTCTTAACTAGGCTGTGCCAGTTGTATTCTTTTCTAGAAGAGAAAGTCATACCATCGTACAGAAGTTGATTTTATAGCTTGGGATCTTAATTTCAGAGGGTAAGCCATTTGAGGAACAATTTTTAATCTTCTGGGTGCCTTGAAGTTTAAAAAGGCCTCAGCTTAGAGCCATGAGAAGAAAATACAGAAAGAGCAAGAAATCTAGGAATCTAGAATTGTATTCTAAATGCAGAACGAATTGTTAGTGCATCTGAATTATAGAGAATCATCTTGCTGAGTTCAGAAGGGCATTTTGGCAGGCTGACTGGCAGGGTTGGGTTTAAGCCTTGTATTGAATGACTTGCCACAGTTTGGCATATCGAAATACATTTTATTGGCATTTAATTAGTTTTTCTCCATGTGTCCTGGCAGTAAGAAATATATGAACTGTAAGTATACTAATACACTTCCGCGCAACTGTATTGACTGTTACTTTTCTTTTTCTGGGGCATAAAATCATCCTCTGCATGGGGAGGGGAAAATAAGAATGTGCCATTGTCTGCTGCCTTGATGTGTAAAGACCTGCAGGACAAGCCTAAAGGTTTTTCTAGCTTAAAATTTAAGACCTGTCTTTGACTCTGACTGGAAAAGCAATTAAATGGTCTGTGAGCTAAGTGTGAAAATTGAGTAACGGAGGAAAGAAGGGTTTGTAGTCAGTTTTTTAAGGTTCTACTATTGTTAAAATCTGTTTAACATCAGTGACTAGCGTTTTTAAGAGGGCGCCTCTGATCAAAGATTTGGCGTGAGTATTTGTAAGACTGAGACCTAACAATGTTCTTTGGAGGTGCTAGAGTATCATCAAATAAAACCAGAGAAAATTAGAGTTGGCAGTCTTTAATTCCTTTTTATTATTTTTTTTTTAATATGAAAGCTCTTTTGGGGTGGTTGGGGAAGGTTACAGTATAAAGAGCAAAAAATCCCCAGGCAGCCCAGTTTAAAAGGTCTTGGAGGTCACCTTTAATGATGAGGCAATGATGTAATTGGTTTGCATTACATTACTCAAGTCATCTTTCCTCCACACTAAAGCTTTTAGTTTCTGTGGAGAAATCACCAGTGTGAATTGGGCAGTAGGCTTACATTAAGCTGTGAACTCTCATTTCATGAAACGTGAAGCAGGATTCCACACCTGGGGTAATTCTGAAGCTATTTGGCCTTTTCAGAGTTGAGGAACCTATCTGTGTCTATCATGGCTTTTTCAGTCAAGCTTTTTATCGCTTTTCTTACTGAGCTAGCCCAACTGGAGTTTTAGAATAGGTTAAGAATCTGTCCAAGGGTAATCACAGCTGACTTAGTTTATGTTCCTGACTGGCTTGTTTCTTTTTCAGATCCCTTGCAGTTGGCAGTAAATCAGGCTACAAATTCTTCTCTCTTTCTTCTGTGGACAAATTAGAGCAGATCTATGAATGCAGTGAGTATCTTCTTTTTTTCTTTTTCTTTTTTTATCCCCTCAGCTGGCTTAATTTGGGAAGAATAAGACATGTTTCATTTTTTCACAGGTGGTTTGGAATTGACATAAGAGGAACCTTAAGTGTATTATGAAATATCACACAAATACAAAACAATTGATTGCTGGCAGGGTAAAATTATGTATCAGTGTTCTGTATTTAAATGTAGCTGGTATGTCGTGAAATCGGGTAATAGGTATGAGGAGAACTCTTTGCTTTTCTAATTTTATGTCCAATAGCCAGGTTATGTAGCAGCTGGGCGTTAAAAAAAAAAATTATTACTGGTGCGAGAGAGTGTCCTTATACTGGCTATTGGAGCAGGCAACTGGTAAGATACTTTTATCAAAGAAGAAAACAAAGCCTTGATTATCTTTTTCTTTAATCCTAATATTTGCTGTTAGAAAAATACTTTTTAACATGACAGCTGCAGGTTTACTCATCCAAAAGGGTGAAAAATCCAAATTCCCATAACTTTTCAATACTGATCTCAGTTGAGTAGGATATGAGATGAAATTGAGGGAGGCTTGGGGGAGAAGTGGTATCCCCTGTTTTGCCAGCAGTCCATAGACTTCCCTTTTTTGAGGTGCTAATAAGTAAACTATGAATGCTATGCATGAGTATCCTTGCTTTCTTGTAAACTCCATGTGGACAGATGGTACCAATAGCTATGATGTCAGCATTTATGGTAGGATCCCGGTGTACCATGCTACACAACAGAGTTGTCTTCAGACTCCATTCCCTAAGTGACCTGACCCTGTGGCATCTTAAGTTTGAAAATGGTGTGTGATTCAGATCACCTGTTACCTGTGGTGACAGCCTGATTCTGTATACAGTCAATGGAGAGAAGTAATTGTGAGGTTCAAATTAGGCACCTGTGGTCAGGTTAAATTGTGTTGCAGCTACATCTGCCTGTTTGAGTCATGGTCTGGTTGTACTGGTTAATCGGTGGCTTGAATTCCATTTTATGCCGTTGAGTTTAAGTACCTGACCTCTGTAGTATGTTAGGCACTTACAGTATCTGGCCTGATATCACCCCAGGAAACTCAGTGAGGATGACTCCTGTTATATGAGACACTGAATAAACATACTGAGAGAGACTGAACTGAACTTTGCAGGACTGCTTCTAGGTAGTCCTTGAAAGAAAAAGTACAGATTGGATAATGTGCCTTGCTCAAAATCTTGCAGTAAACTGATAAAGCAGCTGGGATTAGAATTTAGACCTGCTGATTCCAGTCTTGTCTTCAGACTGTTCTGGGATGCCTGTATTGGCTTGATCTCTTTGATATTGTAAGTTTTATTCCATGACTGTTAAGCCTATAAATGCAGAGCACAGAATGTGAGGTAACATTTAGTAGAAAATTTGATGGTTTGACCTGTGTAAGCCAGCCGGTCATGCTCATAGAGCATGCAATGTCTGCAGCAGACCTAAATATTTGAGATCTTTATTTTTTGTACACAGTTAAATAATTTTCAGTCTTGGGCTTGCAAACCATGCCTGTTTAAAACTTGATACGGGGGGTGGAGGGCGTCCTGTGTATTGGCTACCTCCTTTCGGCAAGGAAAAGCATCTTGAGGCCTCTGGGACATGTATCTCCTGCCTCCCAATTTAGTTTAAGTGGGTCTAAAGATTTTGTGTTGTTTTGAGTGAGCACTTTTAAGGACCCCTCCCTCTCTTCTGTAAGATTGATCTGCCAGTTTTTGTGTAGGTGTCTAAAGTAAATTACAGAATATGCCCCAGCTGTCTTGTTTTTGAGAGAACAACTGAGAAGAATGGGAGGTTTCTTTGTCTGCTCTCATCACTGACTTCTACTGTGACTCTGTACGATCACCTAACCCCCTGCTCAGTTGATCACCCTGTAAAAATAAGTATTAGAATGGAGGGTGCTTTAAGGCTTAATGAATGCTTATAACATGCTTCATGTTCTTGGATTAAAAATGGAATAAAAGCACGGCTGATCATAATCTAGCTGGTTCTAACCAGCTCTTGTCTGTGATGCTACATGCTTGTGTTTATGAAACTGTAATCTTGTTATGTATTTGCTTGTTCTCCCCTCACTGCTGATACTCAAATCATTTTGCGATTCTTCTTTTGTTCTTACTGTATTTTGAATCTGAGTTTCTGGTAATGCTCACTTGTGTAGTGTAAAGGAGAAAATTCAAATAGAAAAAAAAACCTGATTAACAGCATTGCTATGGGACTTAACTAGTGGTTCTAAACATGATTAATTCAGGTCAGCTGGATGTAGGATGTGCAGTCTAGCCTGGTACTCTACTTGAATGGTTGCTCGTTAGGAAGCATACATGACTTGGCAGCTGTGAAGAGATTTTTATCACTTCTTCCTATTAGGGGAAGACAAAGGAACAGAGGTGCATCCTGTATTTTGCAAGTGAATTTAATTAAAAGCCTATCACAAAGCCTTTCTCTAAAGGTAACTGTCTGTATTATAGTAAGTCTCCTTACCGTGAGACTGAAGGATTGTCTATACCTTTTAAGCGTTTTCCTTGTTGAAAGTTTTTTCTTCAGTCTGTGACTGCTTTAGTTCTTGATAGTGCTCTTCCCTCTGTTCCTTCCCTGCTGCCTACACTTCCCATCAGTGCAGCATAGGACAGCGCTTTTTCCATCTGAATCTCTGCTGCTGTTCCACCTCTGAAATACCAGTTCTCCTGCCTGGGAGAGTAACAAATCCCAGAAGCTGTGTTTTAACACAGTTGCCCCTGAATGGGGAAACAAGCTGTGCTCGCCCAGGAGCCGGGAGCAGTCAGACTGTGTTTTTCGGGTATCTGTGTGCTGGTCTTCTGACCCTTGCAAAAGGATGCCATTATTATGAAGGACTCCAGGCTTAGATGGAAAGCTGATAACCTGTACTGTAAAATAGTTGAGAATCTTTTATGTTACTGGTGTGGTTCAAGGAACATGGACCTCTGCATTTGAAAGTCTATGCATAAATTTATTGAAGTGGATTTTTGTATTTCTTTTTCATGTGTTGTGTGTGGCATCAGGAAAATAGAGAACAATTCCTTGAAAACAAAGTCGTTGCTAAAATGCATTATCCCTGTTGCAGAAGTGAGGAAATTGAATTTTCAAAGCCTCTGTGAGCTGTTTTGTCTTCTCTGGAAAAGTACCATATTAAATACGAGATTTAGATTAAAGTCGATTATGTTGCATAGAATACTGAAAATGCTTAGTATAAACCTGCTCCTTTTCCATAAGGAGGCTATTTCTCTCAAAAGAATGTAGAGCATTACAGATTTTCTGTTCTTTTTCTTGAAATAACTGCCCAGAAAAACCACTTTCAAAGCAGGCATGTCACACAGTGATGACATTGTCATATGCTGAGAATGTTGGAACAGAACTTTTTTCAGGGAATTTCTGTCGTTGTTGATGAGAACATTGCCAATTATTTAATGTGTCTCTTGGCCAAAACAGAAGCCTTCAGAAATAAGCTTTTTTTTTTTTTTTTTTTTACTGGTAGTTTTATGGTTTGGAATGTGTTAAGCATTGAGCTAATCCAGATACTGACTTCTGAAAAATTTGGTTGTTTCGATGGATCAAGGCCAGAGGCTCAAGTTGCTTGTCTTGTTTCAGTTCTATAATGGAAGGGCAGATGTAGCCGGTAGCTGTGGGAGAGCTGCAGAGAGTGGTAAAACTCTCTCCAGCTTTCTCCTGCTGTGAAAACTATGTCCGCTATGTCTCTGGGATTTTGGGGGGGGGGGGGGGAGCTTCAGGGGATGGGAGGGGGAAGCACACATGCCAGGGTAACTGGTGGTGGGACTTGGACTCCTACCAGCTTGGTCCAATACTGTACTATAAACAAATGCCCTGAAAGTGCTTCTTTGCCAGAGATCCTGGACTCTTCTCCCTCCTGCTGTCTTCCCCACATTTTGAATGATGACTTGTGTTCCTCCTTTGCCTCCAGTGCTTCCATAGTAGAACGCGTGACAAAAATAACGCTGTTTTATGGCTATGCATACATGCTGGGCTTTGGTGATTCCTGTAGAAATTGTTTTTAGGGACTGTCAGGTAGAAGATGATATAGGGGGGGCGGGGAACCCAAAACCCACCTAATCAGTGGTTGAAGCAGTCTTAGAACAAATGAGTTTACCAGCTTCTTTGAATACAATAACCTTTCTTCATGGAGAGGTGTGCAGAAACTCCAGGGGTTTTGGTCATCAAAAACTGTTCCATGCATAGTACAGCTTTAAAAACAAAACAAAAACCAAAAAACTTTGCTTTCCTAGATTTCTAAACTACAACTAAAACATCAGTGTGTTATCAACATTATTCTCATACTAAATCCAAAACACAGCACTATACCAGCTACTAGGAAGAAAATTCACTCCATCCTAGCCGAAACCAGGACAAGAAATAAGAGAAGATTGTAAGATTCTGGAATTTGACAATTTGCCTTTTTTTTGTATCTTTGGGATTTTTTTCTGTTGGATCTTGGGCAGGGTGGAGTAGATGCTCTGTCTGAAGCATGCATGACGCTGGGGGTGGGGCGCGGAAATCTTTGCATATCAGCATTCACTGTGTAGATTTTCTGCATTAAAAACCTGTCCTGCATCCCACCTTGGCTCTGAGCTGTTCTGGCAGAATGTTTGTGGTGGTAGAGTGTATTTTCTTAGGCAGTATTTCCTGTTGATGTGCATCATTCTTCTTCCCTGAAATCTCCCTCTGTATTTTTCCCTTGTTATTGTGATTCCTCAGCTGACACAGAAGATGTGTGCATTGTGGAGAGGCTGTTCTCCAGTAGTCTGGTGGCCATAGTTAGCCTTAAAGCTCCACGCAAGCTGAAAGTTTGTCACTTTAAGAAGGGGACAGAGATTTGCAACTACAGTTACTCCAACACCATCTTGGCTGTCAAACTCAATAGACAGGTGAGTAGTAATTTTGACTAGGTGAAAACACGGGAAGGGGTTGTGGATCTTATTCTGGTACTTCTTTGCTGATTGATGTCTTTTCCTCTGGTGACAGGATTGCTATTTGAAATTAACTTGTACTTTTCCAACTGTAGCTTCTGTATGGCATCTCAGTACTCATATTGGTTAAGTATTTTTGGTTCTATGTTTATGTATTTACTTGGGAAAATGCCCTGAGTAAGCAGGGCATGTGTTGAGTAGGAGGTTGGACTAGAGACCTCCTGAGGTCCCTCCCAGTGTGAATCATCCTGTGATCCTAAATGTGAAAGTATGTGAAACTGACAATTTCTATTCAGGCCTGAACTTAAAGTTGTTACCTATTCACTTTTTATGTTTTTAGATACAGTTTGCTGAATTCTTTTAAAAAAAAAAAAAAAAAAAAATCACTGAACTGGTGAAATTTTTGAGTTAAGTACCTGGAGCCATAGTTTGCTGTATTACTAAATCATTAGTAGGCTCTTCTGCAAATACAGGCTTCTCTGTCTTCAACCAGTTCATTCAAATTAGAGAGAGTGGCATCTGGAAGAGAAAATCTTCTTAGTGTCTGTCCCTGCCCCCAAAAATCAGGTGTGGGAGGATGGGATTCCCTTTAAAATCATGAGGGAAATAGTGGCTAATTCGATTTCTGGCATTGTGAGGTAGCATTAAATGAGTAACATCTTGTTAGTCATCCAGATGTAGTCTACGAAAGTGTAAATGAGATGTTGAAGAACTTAATTAAAAAAAAAAAAGCCCCTCACAAATGATTATGAGTAAGTAATAGGGTCTATAAATGGTTAAAAAAGTCTTGTATGTTTTTTCTGTTTAGCCAAAGCAGAAAATTATTTCCACGTGTGAATTGGCCTCTTGAGGGTGGGAAATACATAAGGGCAGGTACAAAATAAGAATTAATTAGCTTTAAATGAAGGTTTCTGGCTTGCTGACTTAAACTAGTAATGTAAATCATTTTCATTTAAATCAATTTGCACTAGCATGGTTGAGAGAAGTCAAGTGCACTGGTCAGTTCAAGTGACCGAGTGTAGTATTACGCTGTTGAAGCCTTGTCAAGCGGTGTATCTTGTGTATCTTCTATCAGACTCTTATTTCTTCCCATCAGGTGGGTACAACCTTTTCTCTATTGGAAGGTACCTACTGCATTTTTGGATACAATTTTTTTAGGATTGATAAATTAATATAAACTCCAGTTTGATTTCAGCATTTCGTCCTCTTTCCCATGTCTAGAGGCTGATAGTATGTCTGGAAGAGTCTCTTTATATACACAACATACGAGACATGAAGGTATTACATACAATCAGGGAGACACCTCCCAATCCTGCAGGTAAGTATGTTGTTAGAAGCTAGCATAACTCTGCAAAGTGCATTCTGTGTCAATGTATGATGTTTCCTACAGGGAACTGTAGCATTGTTAATTCCACTTTCAAATATAAGTAACAAATACACGAGTGTTGTCTTAAAGCCTACCCATTTAATCCAGGTGAGGTTTTTGAGAACAATAGCAGACTCTGCCTTAAACTGCATCTTCCCAGTATTTTAGTCTCCTGGAGTGGATGTGTTGAAATGTTAGAAAGAAGTAGTAGAGATACAAACTGGATTTTGCCAGCACTTGGTATAGTTAAAGGCTTTGTCAGATTAATGCTTTAGGAGTCATGGCAGACATGGGAAATTCTACTGCTTAATCGGTTATTGTAGCTCTATCGGTATTCTTCCTTTTCTACTTTATACTAAACTTTAACTTATGTTAAATAGCTGAATATGTTGCAGGTTGACTCTGAGATTATTCGTCCTTGTTTTTTTTCTGTTGATACCTTGTGAGGATAACTTGAGTTATCTTTGTAATATTCAAATGCAGAATCAGAAAGTTTTGCTGCATAAGTCTTGGAATTTGCCTCTTTCTAATTCTGTTTCTGCATCCCTTCTAGGGTTGTGTGCTTTATCAATAAACAATGATAACTGCTACCTGGCCTATCCAGGAAGTGCAACTATTGGAGAAGTACAAGTCTTTGACACCATCAATCTGGTAAGGATCTTTGTGAATGCTGTTTCCACTTCTAAAGATGCAGTTTTTGGAAGTGTCTTAACTTGCTCAGAGAGGAATTACGAGACACTCGGTTGGGTTCCTCTATGTCAGTTTGCAGTACCTCTTGTAGCTAGGCTTCGCAGAACGTCGGCAAAGAAACTACAGACGCTAATATTAGATTTGATGAGTAGAGTTGGGCAAATCAGTGGAGAAAAGTAATTTCTATTTGAATTGTCTTTTAAGTATCCTTCCACTGCTTGTACTCTCTATGCACATGCTTCAAGGATAATTTTATGTACTTTTACGTAGCAGTTACTGAAATATTGAAGCTGTTGTCTATAAAGTAAGACCCATATTTGCCTTGAATGCTCTTAAATATGCAGCCTTAAGTTGCAAACATGTAGCTTTTAACCTGTACTGTACTAAGGTTATAATTTATTGATTCATTCCTGTAGAGAGCTGCTAATATGATCCCAGCTCATGATAGTCCCTTGGCTGCTTTGGCATTTGACGCAAGTGGTACTAAACTTGCCACTGCATCAGAAAAGGTAAGGTGGCTTTTTATTGACTTGCCGACAGGGGTAAAAATGAAATTTGCTTCTAAGCATTTTAAGTAAGTTTAAGCGTGCGCAATTCCATGCGCAAGTGCCAAAAAAGAAGGCTTACAGTTATAACGGCAAATCTAAGTTAAGAACTGTTAATGATATTTGACACAATTTCCATTCTTTGAAATGTTGGGTAATAAGGTTATTTAAATAAACACATTTTAATCTGGCTGTAATCAGGGCAGTCCTCTAAGTGTTTCTCCCTTTAGTGCAGGATACTTACCAGAAATTAGTTGTCTTGTTTTGATGCCGTCTTCCTAATGAAAAGAAGACAATTACAGTCAGAATAGAGAGAAGTATCTTGCCAGTCTTTGGCACACAATGACAAATTGTCCATCTAAATTGTATAAATTAGAAAGTCTGAAGCCTCTGCTCTTTGAGTAATAAGCTTAGAATATAAAGGTGTAACTGATTGCATCTGATAAAGGCACAAAGACATCCAGGTGACTGTACTTGTGGTACGTGTCTATTGTGGTCATTTTCATCATCAAATGTAAGAAGAAGGGCTGTTCTTGACGCATAGCTTGTTCTCTACATTAGTAGCTCCCACCTCTTCTTGTTTCTCTACTCTTCGAATACATCCTATAAAGAAGCTCCATAAATATTTCATCCTAGTATGTGGTGTGCATCAACGGCAATAAGTTAACAGCAAAATGGTTTGTTGTTTATAGTTGTAGTCTGCTCACTAGAGCCAATACACAATGAATGAACTTGAAATGAAAAATGAATTTTTTTTCTTTCTTTCTTTACAGGGGACAGTAATAAGAGTGTTTTCCATTCCAGAGGGACAGAAACTCTTTGAATTCCGAAGGGGAGTGAAGAGGTAAAGTTCAACTGGACTAATTATCTGAAGCTCATTCCTTACAGTAGATCTCCAGTATGTTCTGCAGTTGAGCTGGCATCCTGATTTTTGCCTGTTTTCATCTTCATTCATCCCTGCCTGTACGCTTACAACAGTTTCAGTTTGAATGTCTTCCAGTTTCACTCCCTTGGACTTGACTATTCTACAAATCAATCCTGTCAGAATTGTACTCCTTCTTGCCTTTTGAAAATTTATTGGTGAGGGAACTTGTTTAAAGTGGGTCACCTTTTGTAAGATATATTGTATTCTTTGGCAGTTGGAGGCAGTACATCTAATATTTTCGCTCTCTTCTAAATCCTTCTAGTGCTGTGATCATTGATAGCCATTGTGAAATGGTACTATGATTTGTGGTAGTAGTAACTCTGTAGTTCTAGTGTACTTTATACAGATAGCCATTGATAGCCATTGTGAAATGGTACTATGATTTGTGGTAGTAGTAACTCTGTAGTTCTAGTGTACTTTATACAGAGGTAAAACTGAGTTCAGGTTGACCCCCATATCTGGTACACATCAGAGTTGAACATCATTAATAGGGATTTTGCTCTTGAAGTGCTTTAAGAAGATATCAGAGAATTTGGAATACTTATTATGGAAATGTTCTTTTTTCTTCTTTGTGAAGCAGTGGTGACTGAGCAATCTGCTTAATTATTAATTAAGCAAAATACTTTGGCTTAATTGCAGTCACTGACAGGAGAAGAGCAGGTGAGTCTACCATGCAGCCACTGTTCCTCCTAGCTCTCACAGTACAGCTTGTGAACATTACGGAGCTCCTTAGTGGTGAATGTGCAGAAAGACTCCTACCTACCAAAATGGAGAAGTAATATTCTCGTTTAAGTTAATTCCCATGAGTTAGTTAACACTAGCTTTCTTCTTACACCAATTGCTACAGTACTAGAATGTCAAAAATAATGCTTTGTTGTTTTTCCTTTCTTTTTTTTTCCCCTAGGTGTGTGAGCATCTGTTCATTGGCTTTCAGCATGGATGGCATGTTTCTGTCTGCATCCAGTAACACAGAGACGGTGCATATCTTCAAACTTGAGACTGTGAAAGAAAAGTAGGTTTCAGAGGTGCCTTAGATTTTTCAAGGAAAAGGCTTTAAAATTGGTTGTATTCAACAGGATGAGTTCTCCAAAGTGTGGACAGACTTCTTTTGAACGCGTCTGTAAAGTAAAGGGCATAAGAAGTCACTTACGAATCAGCAACTGTAGCTGAGCTGCATACTGTTCTCCCAGTGAATAGAAAAGGTATTTCTGCCAAAGAGAAATTGGCCATCCTTGGCAGAGGGATGTGGAGCAGTGTTAACATTTTCAGTTACATTTGTGTTTCGCCTCTTCAAAAATGGGAAGAGCTATCTCAGCAATGCCTTCCAGCTGCCTATAGGGCTTTAAAAGGCACCAAGTTGTAAAATGTTTCTATTTATGATTTGAGAGGACAGTCTTACATTTCTTGGGAAGTTGTTGGAAACAATGATTTGCTTAGTGATAAACAGGTGAATAAAATCTTAAAGTGTAGCACTTTCCAGTAGATCTTGCTCTTGTATAAATGAACCTTATGAAATGCAGTTTTATAAGCAGAAGTATCAGTTTACAATCAAACATGCTAAAATAACAGGCTGAGGGTATTGTAGGGCACATTGTGCCCTGTAGCATAAATAGAGTGCATTAGAGTTCTCAAGGGTGTTAGTTATTTCTGAGGAGAAACAAATAGCTGCTTAATATCTTTAAAAAAAGATGTTTTAAAGTGTTCACGCACCTTTCTCTCTAATGTGAAGGCAAAGTCGGTCACTTTTTTCTTCTGACTTGTAGACCTCAGGAAGAGCCTACAACCTGGACAGGTTACTTTGGAAAAGTGCTGATGGCCTCAACAAGCTATCTGCCCTCTCAAGTAACAGAAATGTTCAACCAGGGTAGAGCCTTTGCTACAGTCCGCCTGCCATTCTGTGGGCACAAGAACATCTGTGCACTTGCCACGTGAGTAAAGAAATTGAGCCTGCATTCACCACCCCGCTGGGTTGCCATGTTGGGCTACGGAGAGGCTGACACTGTAGAACATAACCTCATCTCCAGCAGAGCAATGGATCACCTGTAATCACTTCAAAGCCTCTTCCAATTTAAGAGCAATGTGTTAGAGCTAACACCTCTCAATCCTGTGAGGGGAGGAGAGAAAGGCATAATATTTGGATGAGAATAGACTATTTCTAAGTGTTGTTTAAAGATGTCTTTTAATTTTGAAAGAAGAATGTTGAGAACAGACCCATGGGCTTATGGCATTTGCTTCTGTTAGTGCAAGGGGAGTGATGCTGTATGTTGTGTTAGTGAATTGCAAAATTAGGCAATCCAGACTAACCATTAAAGAAGTCTTTGAAAGCAAGTTCATATTATTCTTGTCTCTAAAACAGCATAGCATTCATTAAAGTTAATTTTGAGGACTAAATCTAATCTTTATTCTGTCTTCACCAAAGGCAGGTCCCATTTGGCACAGCTACCAAAGCAATGAGCTCAGCGGTAGTAAACTTATTTTGTGGGGGTTTTATAGTTTTTATGCTAAATTGACTTCATGTGTGTACTCTCACTTCTCTGATCTCAAAGCACCCTTTAAGCCATAATTAAGCCTTCTAACGTTTCTGAAATAAGTAAATATTTCCCGTTAGAATATTTGTCTCTGGAGTTGCACAAAGCTTGATAATGGGATGGTAACTTCTGAATCTGTTTTACTGGGTTATATAAAAGTTGCTTGATTGCTGTGGCATCCCACTAGCCACAAAATGTGGTTATGCCTTACTTTTTTTACACGCAGTTCTTTCCTAGGTGCTCTGTCTAACTGTTAATAATGTTCCCTGTCTAGACGCAAGTGTGTGGAAAATAATGGCTTAAAATCATGGGAGGGGAGGAGAGTGTGCTGATATGAAACTTAAGTTCTTATTAATCTGTTGCTCTCCCCTAAACCTATCTAGAATCCAGAAGATCCCTCGTTTATTGGTGGGAGCTGCTGATGGATATCTCTACATGTACAACCTAGATCCCCAAGAAGGAGGAGAGTGCACACTAATGAAGCAGCACAAGTAAGTCCCCATTAGCTGAGAACTGTTGTATTTTATTTTTTCACAAAATGCAGTTCTTAAACTTAGTTCTCTTCTGCAAAAGTTTAACTTAGAACAGCTCCTTTTTTTTAAATTAATCTCTTTCCAGACCTCCTGCACCTTCCTTCCTAGTATCTACTACACTAAGCACCGCTTTACCAGCAGAAACTTAACACTGTCCGATTGCAGTGAAGGATCAGTCACTGTTAGCTGTATGATTCTGTTTCCTCTTACTTGGCAGTTTGAGTTGAGTTACTTAAACACGAACTTGAAACGTCTGACACCATCCTCTTCACCAATAAATGAAGCAGTTCAGAGATGAGAAAGAGATGTTACTCTGACTTCACAGAGGGGAATCTGACCTACGAAATTTTCTGTATTCTCTCTCTACCAGTGTCCTTATTAAACTTCCTTGCATATAGGCCAGCCGACTAATGTTCTGTAGCAGTTCCTTAGAACACTTAAGAAAAATATGACAAGGCATTGTTGTTTTTTTAATAAGGTTTGGCAGGAAAAGCTAGGGTAATATAGTCGGATTACTTACATGATTAATCACAGAATTAAAGCCAATAACTCAAAATGATAATTCAGGTTTGCAGCTTTAGTCAATCTATAATACTGGTCAAAAATTATATCTTTATCTGAACATTTTAAGGTATGACCTCTGGTTTCACTTGTAGATGAAGTGAAGTCTCGGAGGGAGATTTTTATCAAGTTCTTAATCTCTGAAATGCTCTAACACCTTCACTAGAGGGTTTTCTAGTGTATGTGTATGAAGCAACCGCTTCTGTTGTGGGCAGAGCTCAAGAGACAATCTGTAATATTGCCGGTTGGAATGGTTATTGGTTTTTTTAATCACGCACTCTTGTTTTGAGTCAGTTTTTTGTAGCATCAGCTGCTAGGATTTAGATTCTGATGCCATGTCAGAGGCAAGTGTGTCACTGATGTCTTCAAATATGAAGCATTGTCAGATGCCTTCTTGACAGTCCTCTGGAATGGAGGGACCGTATTTCTCCTGTTGCCTCTGCATATATGTTATTCTTGCACGTCTAATGAGATATTCTTCTGTAGCTATCAACTAAAGCTGTATTATGCCCAGGGAGATCACCTCTCCAGCTAACCTCTGTCTGCTTGGTAGGCTCGATGGCAGTATGGAGCCAGCCAACGAAATTCTAGAGTCTGCATCCCATGACCGGCCGTTGGTAGCGCAGACATACAGTGCCGCTGTGACTAAAGGTACATATGTGCCTTCCTCACCCACAAGGCATGGTAAGGAGAAGGCTGGAAATGGGGCAGAGAGCACTTCTGCGTATTGCTTCATTCTAGATGGCTGCGTGAGCTCGTCTGCTTCAACACTGAGCTTTTCATAACTGCGGGTGTGATGTGGAGCATTGGTGAGCAGTGGGAAAAGAGCACTTGTGTACAGTAGCCTCCTATAGATGGATCACTCATCTTTGCTACTTTGAGTAGAACTTTGTCTCGAATTGTGGTTGATTACTGTAGTGATAGTTGCAGTACTTGCCAAATGGTTCTTGAGATGCCCTAACGCAATTATTTCAGGCAGGAGTTCTGCATCCAGACCTCATGCAAAGCATTTGAATTATAGCCCCCCTTTCTTTTTTTTTAACAAGGTTGATAAGCGCATCTATTGTTCCTTTATGGGAACAGTGACCTTTTTAGCCTGATTTGCTGCTCTGTTAAATTGAGAGGATGAGAATTTGGTTAATGCTGCAGCTCTCCGAGTGGAGCTTCTACCATCTTTGTATGGCACTCAGGTCAGTGCATCAACTGCAGAGGAAGGATGGTCTGCATGTATAGCATCAATACTGCAGTTGCAGCTGTAATGCATTGGTGAAGAGTAAGAAAAACAGCAGCCTGCCCAAAACACGAGTACGCATCATGCACACGCAGAGTTTTTGATCATAAACTGCTCTAGGCTTGGAGAAACACGGTCATGATAAAAGCAAACATAGGGTGGCAGTGAAACTGTTGCAAGTGATGTCTGGTACTTCAGCTCTAATCATTCACTTTGGATCCAAGCCTTAGTTAGTGCTGCTGATCCCCCAAATACTTGTTCCTTTCTCTCCAGCCTATACAGATGACCTGGGTGCCGTGGGTGGAGTTTGCCTGGAAGATGAAACCAACTCACTTAGATTGGACGAAGACAGTGAGCATCCTCCCATGATCCTTCGGACAGACTAAACTTTGACCTGTGAACTCACTCCTGAAGCAGAGAACACTGGCTTGACGTTTCTTGAGGAATCTCGTGTTATGCTGCTATGAACTTTGACATGAGTTGGGAGAGAGGATGACAGACTCTTACAGTTTTAAGTCGTAGCTGTAGTCCTAATTCTATACAATTGGAAAAATATATGGTTTTCAATCCAGTGGCTTTTAATCTTGCTTATCTATTTTAGCTGTGTTTATTTTTTTTGTTGCCAAAACCTGCTGTTTGTGCAGCCCTCAGAGCCTACTAGCTTTGCATGCGTTCATGTGCCAAGCAAGCATAGGAGGGGGAGAGAGAGAAGCCACTTTATAACAAACCCAAGTTTGTATTTTTTTTATATATGTATATAATATTTAGCTTATATAAGGAAGGAGTAGAGAAGTGGTTCTGGAAGCTGAGATTAGTTCTGCACTGACAAAGGTCCAAATGGTTTCCTGTGCATGGGCTTGCAGGCATACCTAGTGACTGACATGCAACCTTTCAAATGCAATGGCCTGGTTTTTTGGGTTCTCCCTCCCCTTTCCTGGACCATTTTGTTAATTAAAATTCCTTCTGAATGTTGTGTATTCGTGGGACTGTTCTGTTTGTTGGGATAGAAAACTGGAAGTGTTTCCCTGCATAAGGATATAGAACATAGAAAGTGCCTTTACAGGGAAGAAAAGGAATTGCTGCAGGAAGCAAGCTAGAATGAAGGAGGAATTGCTAGAGACTCTTGTTTGTACACCTTTAGTACTTGGGTGTCTGTAGCCCATAGTGGCTGATAAACTTGTGGGTTTTTTAGAGACGACTTGGAATGCACTTTCTTTCTTTCCTGTAGTTTGTCTTATTTCCTTGGCAGAGTAGCAATAACCTTTTTTTATACTTTTTTTAAATTATCCAAAGCAAAGATTCTGTCAGGCTGGATGGAAGTCCCTGTAGAGTATGGCAGCCCCACTCTTTGAACAGCCTTAAGGTTTTCAGCTGGAAGGCATAGCTCTCAATTCTTGCTTCTCTTCAGTCTGGGGCTGAGTGTACTGCTCTAGTAGTGAAGGTTCGTGATTCTGGCCCCTCCCTCCCCCCCACCCCCCGATACTGATGTAAATATAAATGATTTTGAAAGATTAATTTTCTTCTTCTGGGTTCTCTTCTGCTGGATAACAGTGCCCTTTTTTTTTTTTTTTTTTTTTTTAAATTCCCCTTTCATCAGAGTACCTCTTGTGATACACTCCAAGGACTGGTTCTCTCTTTGGCAGTTTTGGAACAAATCCTTTACTGCCCTGACCCTGGCTAGGGTTTTCCAAGGCTGAGCAGTGCTGCAGACTATTTTTAGGGTTGTAACGTGCCTTCTCTTAAGTCTTGGATAACAGTTAGTGAGCAAGTGATTAGCAAAGTACTTGGTGAGTATGACTTTCCTTTGCCAAAATGAGCCTGCTTTGCCTTTTGTGTAGCAATGCGGGTTGCTTCCTTTCCCTCTACTGACTGCTTGCAAAGGAATAAAAATAAAGACAGACAAGGAAATTGCAGATCTTGAGAGGAGGACAGAAGCTGAGTACTCCAGCTACGTGTGAACTCCCTACCACAGCTAGACAGTGGTGTGCTTTTAGGATTTGGTACTGTTAACAAGTCTTCTCTCAAGCAATAGTAGGCAGTGGTCTTTGTCCCCAAAGCCCTGTGTGGGCAGGTGGGCTTCCCCTTCCTCTACAAGTGCAGAAGATGGTGGTAGCCCCTGCCAAGAGAGCTGCCTGTGTCAGTGAGGCTACTGTTAGTCCGTGTACGTGGAAGAGGTTCTTACACAAGCACATGTGGAAGAGAAGGGATCAGGCTTGTTTATTCACTGAAAACCCTTGACTGTCCTAAGTAGTTGGCTGGAATGGTTTGTGATGTCCTCTCCAGGGCCCAGCACGTTCAAAACAAACCACTGAGCCATGCTGAAATCTCGCTTAGTCTCTTGACTTCAAGCTCTGGCTGACAACTAAATTCCATAGTCTGGAATTATTTTTTTTACTGCAAGTGTTATCAGCTTTGCTGTGGAGCTCATAACTGCAGAGTAAAATACAAGTCTTGAAGTAAATATAAGCTCAGTGAGCTTTGCTGGCAAATGGAACCGCCCAGGAGCTGTCAGATGTCTGCTTGTTCCAGACTAAAGCTGGTAACATTCCTGATAACATACTTGGAGGCTTGGCATAGACTCCACAAGTAGAGTTAGCAGTAAACACGCATAAGCAACACAGGTCTGCTAGCACACAAGTTTTACAACTCTTGAGTGTAACAAAGGCCATGTTACATAGTAAGGTATATTCCTTAATGTAATTACTAACTTTTACTGCTAAAAATTGAGAACCTTTCTTGTACTAATTTTACCCCCTTCTAAACTTTTACACCTTATCTTCCACAGGTGAGTTGGAGATCCTATATTCACTGTATTTGTGTCTTCCATATGCTGTAGTATGCTCCTACTCCTGAGCTACAGACTGACTGTTGAATTGCTGTGCCCTGCTTGGTTCATTCTTAAGTAGAAGCTGAAAGCCAGTTAAAGTATCTCTCTTTTTGTTGTTGTTGTAACTGGGAAAATCTTTTTAGAGAGCAGAAGTATTAATATTGTGGGGTTAGTGACCAGCATGGAGCTAGTAGGGTGGAGCAGGTGGTTTCTTGTCCCCCCTGACAGTGTATTTAAGAGTGGTGACAGTAGTTTGTCTTAAGTTCATTGCATGAGGATATAAGCTTTTTCTCAGATAAAATATGACTAATATCATTTCCCTCTGATGGCCTTAGGCCCTCAGTAACCACCCTGTTGTGGTATGCTACCAAAGTTAGAAGCCTTTCAGGCTGGGCTTTCATCCCAGTGACACAAAGATGTTTTTGTTTCTTCTTTTTTTTTTTTTCTTAAACATACCAGAAATGGTGTTTGCAGCTGCATCCTCACCTGAGTATGGAGCATATGATTGCGCTGTTATGCTCTGTGCATCAGCTGGTGTCTAAACATTTCTATTCTGATGGTCTAACAGCCCTGGATTCCCCAGGGTAAGCCAAGGAGGCTCTAGCCCTGTGCTGTGGCCATGGGCTTCTAGTCATACGATATGGGAACACCTATACAGCCCCTCTCGTTTTAGACTGACCTTCCTTGGAAGGACAGTGTTTGTTCTGTGACAGTGCGTCTCTCTCTAGGTACAGACTGCACTTCTTGATAGCTTTTTTTAATTCTGTTGGGGGCAGAGATAGACAAGTGAAACAACCAAAGCTGGGGAAGGGGGAACACTTACAAACTTGGAATCCTGAACTCAGGTCTTAGATTGCAGTGGGATCTGTTCCCAGTGGGAACCAT